CTTATAAGGAATAATGTCAGGGACGTGAAGAAATTGCAAATTATCCGTTGCCATTTTTTTAATACCCTCCACCATAGTATGGAGGGTATATTGAGTTTGTAACACCTCGAAATATACATTTTAGTCCCCACAAAGTATATATATTCTTGATCAGCATAGAATTCTATCTCGATTTAGCAATGCCCATCCTTCTATCCCTCTGTGGAAATTACTTTAGCTTCCGAACGAAATAAACTTGATTGATAAAATGTTACTCAAATATATATTATGTCCGCAGGGCTTTTGGTATTGAAAATGGGCCATGTAGGTACACATTTTTGGTATAGCCTCCCTATTTTCGGTATTTTGGTGAATTAAGCGACATTATTTACCGGAATTGTTTCAAATTACGTATTTAGAATTCGCAATGGGATCTACAGTCTGTGACAGAAAATTTTCTACGCAGGTCCAAGTCCATATATCAGTGCCTCCCTATATTCGGTATTTTGACGAGTTTAGGTACAATACCCACCGAAATTGTTTGAGATGTCGTATTTGAACTTCGTAATGGAAGCTACAGCTTATGACAGAAAATTATCTATGCTGGTCCAAGTCTTCGCACAGCTCCGATGTAACGGTACATCCCTATATACGATATTTTGATGATTTTAGCTACATTATTCACCGTTTATTTCAAGTTTTCGAATTTGAATATGGTAATGGCTTATGACAAGCAATGCCTATGTAGGTCCACGTCGGATGGACTTCAATAAAAGGGCTATATTCGGTATTTTTAAAATTTAAGCAGAATTTTGAAAGGATTCTATTTTTTGAAAATTTCTAAATTTGTTCCAAATGGTGGAACTTACTGCTTTTCAACTTTTTTTTTTTTTTTTTTTGAAACTTTCGCTATGTCAAAATCGAATTTTTGCCTAAATTCAGCCGCTATTTATTAAATTTATTTAAAGAAATACGTTTTAAAATTTATTTTCTAAAAAGAATCAAGACATACATAGCTTTTTGCGAAAAATGTATTTCTTGAAAGTAAAAACTGAATTCCGATATAATATTTTGATCAAACACATTTGACTTGAAGCTGGCGACGTTGAGTTCGGATGTGCCGTATGTCCTTAAAATTGTTGAATATATTTTAGAATATTTTAGCTATCCACTGAAAAGCCTACGAGAACGTCAAATTACTGTAAATTTGGTTGGAAATTGTGATTAAAACCTTAGAAATACTGAAAGTCAGGAAGCGGAATAATATAACGCATATTTACCAAAAAAATGGGTGTAATAGAACTTTTTCTACAATTTGACATACCGAAAAAAAGCTAAATGTCAAATGACTACTAATTTCATGGAAAAGTGATACCTAATCCTCCAAAATATCAGTCCTACAGACCTAACCTCTGTCTATTGTATTAGGGATGGTAAGTCTATGGTTAGATCAATGAAGATTATTCGAGAGGAGGTCAAAATAGGACCAACTTATGTTTATACCCTGCATCACACTGTAGTCAGGGTATATTATTTGTAATATGGAGAAGGAAGCGAGTTAGACCATACTTCCTTTTGATAGTCGGCATAGAATCACATTCTGAATCGATTTATGCATGTCTGCCCGTTTGTCCATGTATTTTTGTAAACAAAGTACACGTCGCATTTATTGTCCAATCATGATGAAACTTTGCACAAAATATTTGTTTGGTCCAAGGACGAACACTATTGGAACTGGAGATAATCGACCAAAATTTGAAATAGCTCCCATACATATCTTCGCCCGATTTGTCTTTTATTATGCAACAAATTTGTAATTTAGTCCAAATAGGGCGGAATTCGGCACATATAATCAAATTAAGAATAGAAATAAGTGTATCAAATTGGGAAATCGGAAAATCCGTTCGGAAAATCGTTTGATATATAGCTATAGCTCATATATATATATAATTCATTCGATTTGTTAAATTTCTCCTCCTCGTCCGTAATATCGCCACAACGATTTTCGGAGAAATATATCAAATACAGCTCAGAAATATTTTTGCCAACTGTTATCGAGATCAATTCAAATTTGGTTATAGCTCCCATGCACAACCGTAAAATACTCCGCGCAACAATTATATTTGGTGCCAAATATCAGACACAGCATAGAAACACCTTTGTTAATTTCTATAGAGATCGGTTTAGACACAAATGTCTGCGTCAAATTTGGTAGAATACGATAGTACCTTTCGGCTTTGAATTATAACTGCTCTTAGCCATAATACAGATTCAAAAATGGCCATAGTTGGCATGTTTTAATTCTAATAAATTCACCATAATAACGTGAATTTGTTATGTGTAGCTCTACTACATACGCAAAGTGGTGTAGGGTATTATAAAGTCAGCCCAGCCCGACTTTGGCCTTTATTCACTGGTTTTAAATTGTAAATTAACAAATTAGTTTACTACTCGAAAATTATATATCGGGCCCAGATATTTCGAATGGATTTTTTTGTACCCTCAGACATATGGCTACAGATTGTATATATCATTTGATTCGGAAAAAAACTGGCCTAATCGAAATAACGGGCTTAGACCCAAAACGTATAGGATAACTTACGAAGGGAGTATGGAATATGGAATATATCGGAATTTATGATTTCCCAAAAAATTGGATATAAATGTTAGATTTTTTTGTAATTTTGTCTATACAAATATTTTATGGGGAAATTGAATGCGTATAATTCAATATTTTCTAAAAATTACCACATATCTCATATAAAGTGAAGGGAGTAGTCGATATTGTCTGAACCTATCGCTTTGCAAAATGTATATCATGTTTATTTAGCTCCAATAAAATATGGACAAAATTACCCCATACCCTTCTTGGGGTCAACAGTTTGAATAATCATAAGACCAGTAAAAATATGCGTAAATAGTCGAACATTAGAGGAGGGTATACATATTATTTATCAGAATAATCTGAGGAATTCTTTCGGGTATCAGCCTATATAATATGTGGAATATATTATAGTGTTGTAGGGTATTGAATGGTCGGCTCCGCCCGAATGTAGCATTTCCTTACATGTTACCCTTCAAAATCAATTCGTCTTTTTCGGATTCGAGCAGAAAAGCATATAATACGACTTTGAAGGAGTACGACTTTATATAGGGAGTGTTCTGCTGAAGGCTTCGTGGTTGTCGAAATACAGGTCTGTGTCTCTAGGTAGGATGTACTGCTGTCCTTAGTAACCAGAATTAATACAATGTCAACATTCAAACATGGGACACCAAAAAAATTTCTAAGCTTATGAGAATGTGGATTTTCCGATCTTCTTGTGTAGATTATATTTCATGATACCCTACAACACTATGTGTTGGGGGTATTATAAGTTTGATTGAGCCAAAAATTATGTAACACCTCGAAATGTTGGTTTCCCACATAGGAAAGTATATATGGATCGTCCTAGCACGCCGAGCTGAGTCGATCTAGCTATGTATGTCCGTCCGTCCATCTGTCCGTCTGTCCATGTTAATTTGTAATCAAGCTACAGGTCGCAATTATGGCCCGATTCCCACGAAATTGAAAATGGAGGTGGTGTTAGGGTCAGAATAGAACCCTATGTTTTTGAAGATGATTGCAAAACATTTAGGCGTTAAAATGGACCAAAAAAAGAAAAAATACTTGATTTTGCAGTAGATCTACAGGCCACAATTATAGACCAATCGGCACGGAATTTTGCATGGAGTTGGGGTTAAGGACTGGGCAGAAGCGTACAAATTTGGATGGTCATCGGACCACATTTAGCGGGTAAAATATACCATAAATTTTTTTGTAAAAAATACGAAATTTTCCATTAAACCGCGAAAATTTTTTTATCCTGGTGAAATCATAAATACACGAAAATGTCACTTCTGACCGTTGCTTCGATGCTCATATCCAAAATCTCGCATATATAGCAAAATATATACAATCTCATATATCAAAGAAGGGAATGTTAGTTAGATCGCTGATAAATCAAGAACCGTTGGACTACTTTTCACAATTCTCATCAATTCGGAATGGTCTCTTGCCAGAAAAGGATAAAAACAAAGAAAATCGCGTAAAAATCTGCCAATAAAAAAGTGAATATTTGTTTTATATTTTTTTCAATTTTTGTCATATTTTTTATCGCATGCGATTTTTTCAATTTGACGTACACTTTTGAATTGAAAATTGTTAGAGTTTTTCTACACACCCCAACACTATGTGTTGAAGGTATTATCTACAGGTCGCAATTATCGTCCGATTCTCACGATTTTTTTCCCTGGGGTAGCGTTAGGGTGAGAATTAAAGCCTACTGTTATGCAGATTTAAATTCAGAGGTTCAAATGGACCAAAAAAAAAAAACATTTTCCTAAAAGAGGGAAAAAGTCGAGCATATTGGATGACCATTGGATTATACTTAGCTGTAAAATGGACCATGGCTTTTGTGAATTTTTTTCGAATACATAATACGGCGGAATGCGTAAATATGGGTAACATATGGGCAGGCCTCTATGACATTATTTCAATGTGGAAATCTTCCAAAATGAATTTGGACATAAGGGGGATTCTAACATATTTTAGTGTTGTAGTGTTTAGTGTTGTTGTATCACATGGTCGGCCCCGCACGACTATAGCCTTTGCTTGCTTGTTTTTATAATATTTCCATTACATCCCAATCCTCACCATCAAATATACACCAACTCCTACACACACACCCACAAAAAAGAGCAGAAAAGTCTAGTGGCATAAAACTACAAAGACACCATCAACGAATGTTGATGTCAATGAGGATTGTTGAGTAGTGGAGCTGATGAAGAGCTGATGTCGTTTTTTTTTTTTTTTTTTGCTGCAGCTTTTGATGCTGTTGTTGGTGGTGGTAGGGTAAACTCTTTATAAAAGAACATGGAAATGGGAATTTGGTTGGCATCAAAAAAGCAGTTGGCGCGGGAGCGACAACTATGACGACGAGGATGGCGTGGATGATGATGATGATGATGAAGTTTTCACTTACCGGAAGTACAAAGTAAAACGATGGCTGAATAAGCGATTAATCCTGAAGGGCACCACGATGACATTATGTTGTTGTTGGTGTTGCAGCAAACGGCTGTTGATATTCGTAACTGCTGTAGAAGAAATGTGCAGGAGCCTTAGCAGTGGCAAGGCTTGTTGTAACAAAAAAATAAAACGATTATTATGACGTTTCACTTGTCAGAAAGTAAAAATAATATTGCAACAATTTTCTCTACTTTTTTATTTTCTATTTTCTTTTTGTCGTTGTTATGTTATGGTTTTCTTTTGGCGTTTTGGGGTTTTAGAGCAGTAGCAGCACAAATTTTTGACGATCGTATTTGTTATAGAAATGCAAACGCAGAGCAGCCGGAGAGAAATAAAAAATTTCTTGTTGTAGTTTTTGTGTTTCTTCTTCGTTGGCTGGAATATACTTTTTTGTTAAAGCAAAAATGCAATACGGAGCACAAAAAAAAGAAGGAGGTGGAAAAAATTCTTGTTCCCCTTGGTGTTGAAATAACAAGAATAAAAATTGAAGTGGGCTATTATTTGGTGGGTTGGATTCAAATTGGTTTTACCCGGGTTATTTGTTCTTTTAGATGTTCAATTTTTAGTTTTCTTTTTTTCTTTTTGATTTTTTGGTTCTCGTTGGTATGACTAGTTGGTTTTCTTATTTCTTTTTGGTTTGTAGATTATGTTATGGTTCCAAAGGCAAAAAATGCAAGTACAGAAAACTTAAAGCCTTTGGGCCTTTAAAGTTCGGTGTTGTTGCAGCTTGATTGCTTATGCCAAATCGTTGATGTCATTGCCGTTGTTGTTGTTGTTGCTGTTGTTTTATTACGTTGCACAAACAAGACAAAATGGCAACATGTGCATGTTTGCCATAATAACATTGTCCTTCCTCATCACCACCATGAGCTAGCTGTGCAATAGGAGCATCATCGTCGACATCATGCTCCTCATTATTATCATCATCAGCATCAGGAGTGAGTGCTGTCCTGATCGACAAGTAACTGGTGTTGCTGTTGTTGTTAGTGTTATTTCCTTGCAAAAATCAGGCAAAAACATTGCTCCTAGTGCTGTTGTTTCAACATTGTCTAAACGTGTCTGCTAATGTAGCTTCCTTTTAGTTTTTGTTGCTGCTACTGTTGTCCACATATATGTATTTATGCATGTGTGTGTGTACGGCAACATGGTGCGGTTTTAATACAGCCTTTTTGCCTTTAACTTTTTTTCTCCTCCAAATACCATAAAATAAAGAGTTCTCTTGAAAGTTTCTATGTTCCGTAGATTTATGTGTGGTGTGGCAGGGCCATGTAGGCGCTCCAGGAAAGCGGGTGGGGAAAAATGTTGAATGTTAAAACAACAGCATGTAAACATTAACTCAAATTGACATAAAATGCATTAGAAGTGGTTTTCAATGCAACATTGGTTGGCAGGCACGCACAGCATAACCAGGCAGGCAAGCAGGCAAGCTGCCTGGCTGGATGGCGGACAGACACACAGGCCGTTTGGCTGGTTGCCGGAGTAAAGAATACTCCAATTAAGTTGTTGCAGCGACAATGCAACTTGTAGTCTTGGTGATGGTGGTGGTGTTAATGAAAGCCCTTTTAAAACATTAGAGAATGGCTCGGTGGATTTGAAATATGACTTTGAAATGCCGACATCGCTTTAAAGCGGTTGTCTGCCAAATTACACTTCCGGCTGTTTGAACACTCACTCATGTGCACACAAACAAATTATAAATTTTCTAAAAATTCAAAACACTTCTTTATTTCACATTTTTCCGACTTCACATTTTCAAACACCAAATTTCCGTTACAAAATCACGCAAAACACTCATCGCATTATTGCATTTTATTTTTTGATCATCAATGCCCTCAACCTCTCTGTCAATTGAATTTACAATTTCTTTTTTCTCTCAAATTTCTTTGTGATTTCGTTTAACGCTTTTGTTGGTCTATAATTTCCGCTTCGGTCCGTTTATCTGTAAATCCAACATTTAACTGAATTGTCATTGCCTTCGTTGCTTAAGGATATGCTTCGTTCGGCATATTTACTTTTTTTGTTGCCCTATCACATCATAGAACTTCACATTGCTGCCATGTGTGCGTGCTTGTGTGTGTGAGTGCCGGGTCACGGTATTCGTCAGCTTCGTTCCACGAGAGACAGCATCGTGTAACCGTATTCTCGTTTAATATTGTGTGGTGAGTTTTCTCTAACTCACAACGTACAATTTGTAAACAAAGAGTAGCAAACTCCCGTTGTATTGTTAATGACGACTCTCTTCTCATTTCTCTTATTCTCACTTGAAGTAATTTGCCAGTGGTGAAAAAAGCAGGAATATTTAGTTCAAGTTTAAGGTTTTTCTTTGACGTTTGTGTGCGTATGTGTGTTTGGGGCATTCTCACCATTGCATCAGTGGCATTTGTGAAATTTGTATGCAATTTTAAAAGGAAATAATAGTTTTTTGCCTTTTTCTTCTTCCTTTTCCTTTTCTCTCTCGGTGAAACGGGGACTTTGGTCAATACAAAACGTCAACAGCTTTCATTTCTTTACATATTTTGCATATTTCTACATGATTTCATAAATTTAAATTTTTGATGGTGCTCTCTAAACATTACAAGACATGCAAAAAGGGGACTCATGCATTTAAATTATAATGCTGGAAAGACAGAACACGGAAGAAGAGATTCTAGAATCCATGGTTTGTGAATAAAATATTGCTGTATAATACAACAGCATCATCTATTGAATTTATTTATTTGTTTCTCGCCGATTTTAGGAAAGCAAAATATTAGTTCGAAGTTATTGCGAATTAAACACCAGAAATCATTCAAGTTCGATTCAAATTCTACAAGCACATATTTTTTTGAGCACATCTTAATAATTTTTTCCACAACAACTACATTGCTTCGAATGCACATTATTAAAATGCTTAATCTTAAGCATACGTTTGAGAATAAAGGTTTTTATGTTGTTTTGTTATATTGTTATGTTTTTATATTCTACACCTTATGGTGGTAAGAGCATTATGTCTTTGTGCATATGTTTGTAACATGGAGAAGTCGATTTATGCATATCAGTCCGTCCGTCTGTCTAGTGAACAAAATGCAACTCGCATTTATAATCCGATTGAGATGAAATTTTCGAAATAATATTTGTTTGTCCAATAATATTTGTTTGTCCCTATTTGGATATAGCTCCATATATATTTTTATCCGATATTGGGTTAATAGTGCACCTAATGGCTAATATCAACCCAAATTGAGTGCATTGTGGCACTTCCGACTGAATTCATCCAAGAAATAAATACTTCAAATTTGTGAAAATCGGTTCAGATATAGATATAGCTCCAGTATATATATGTTTCCTCCGATTTGGGGTTTTAAGTCCCCCACATGTGTAATATGTGCTGATATGTGCCAGATATCAGATATAGCTCAGATATGAATGCCTAAAATTTTGTGAAGATCGGTTCGGATTTGGATATAGCTCACATACATATCTTTTTCTAATATCAGGTTTATTGTGCACCAAATTATTAATATCAGCCTAAATGAACTGAACCTTGGCAATTCCGACTGAATTCATCGTAGAAACTAGTAGCTCCCATATATGTATATGTTTTATACGATTTTGTGTTAATCACATGTGTAATATGCACTTCGAAACAATCAAATTTGCTACCGGACATCAGATGCGGCTCGAAAACACCTCTGCCAAATTTTATTTGCTAACCAAATTGGATAGATTTTATAATATTCAGCCGATTTTTTCCATTTACTGAAACTCTGTTCGGTATATCTATTGCCACAATAAATAAATGTCTTATTGAAGTCATATCATGCACTATACAGTAATGTTATTTGGTAGTAGAGGTACAAAAGCCTCCGTCAAATTTGTTGAAAATCAACTCAGAGTAGGATAAAGTTCTCAAATTTTGACTACTCTAAAACCGCATTCAAATATGGTTCGAGGTTGATATGGTGTACTTTACATAAATTCCCAATATAAACACGAATTATGACCTCCAAACGGCCAATGGAACCGTCACATGCTACCCGAATGTTGCTCTGCGGAATTTTCGCGATAACATTCTGCATTTATTCTTATGCCACGGTCGATTAATACGAGCGGAGAGCGAGCATCATCTGTTATGGCGGCCCACACCATCTTCATGGCCGGCGCTTGAGTTCTGGTGGCCAACCGAATTTTCATTTTCAGCTGAACTCTTTGGTAAGTAAAAACGATCATTTAGCTTGTTTACAAACTGCTGGACAACGAATGTTTTCTCATCGGAGAAAACCAAATTCGGCAGTTCACCACTTTCGGCCAAGCGAAGCAACTCTTTAGTTCTTTTGAGTCTATTTTTTATGTTGCGGTGTAAGTTCTTGCATTTGTTGGAATTTCAATGGTTTTACTCCGAATGGAATATTGCGATATGTTCAGCTCATGAGCCATTTTTCGGCCACTGCGACGCGGGCCTCGATCAAGACGCTTCTTTACTTTTCGAACAATTTCTGCTGATGTTGCTGTTTTCTTCCGTCCACTTCCTTAAAGTCGGGCTACGCTACCAGTATCACCAAAATGCTTTTGTACGCTTGTTAATAATAAAAAAGCTGTCACTGGACAATTTTAACAGCTGTTGGTCAAGTGGCTTTGAAACGACAGCAGTCTGAAGTTGGTTGCAGTTTTTTCATCTCACTCTGTATATCAAAATAGGACAATATATATGTAAATGAAATATATCTTAGTTATTCTGCTTATAAGTCATGAACCGCTGGACAGATTTTTACAATTCTTATCAATTCGGAATTATCTCTTCCTAGAAAAGGGTGAAGTAAAAATAAAACAATAAAAATGTTAATATTTTTTCATATTTTTTGTAATATATTTTATCGCATAGATTTTTTTCTGTTTGACTTACAATTTTGAGTTGTAAATTTCCTAAAGTTTTTCTACACCTAGCAACACTATATTATTCGAATACATAACAACAAGCGGAGTTCACAAATAAGGATAATATCGGGGCAGGGCTCTATGACATTATATCAAAAATGAAATCATTCAAAATGGATTTGGACATAAGCCCCCTTTCTTATTGCGGTGTTGTAGGGTATCACATGGTTGTCCCCAAACGACTATAGCCTTTGTCTATTTTCTATTTCTATTTTATACCTTCCACCATAATATGGAGGGTATATTAAATTTTTCATTCCGTTTGTAAAACCTCAAAATATACATTTTAGACCCCACAAAGTATATACATATATTCTTAATCAGCATAAAATTCTATGTCGATTTAGCGATGTCCGTTCGTCTGTGGAAATTACTCTAGCTTCCGAGCGAAAGTTCAGGTTCACGTCTTCGTATAGCCCCCATATAACGTTATGTCAATTCGTTACTTTGATGATTTTAGCGACATCATTCACCAATTTTTTTCAAGTTTCGCATTTGAATATTGTAATGGCTTATGACAAAAGTTTTCTATGTAGGTCCAAATCGTCGTATTGAACGTAATATAACGGCTAAATTCGGTATTTTTAAGATTTTAACAGAGTTATTACCGGGTTTTATTTTTGTTTTCTTTTTTTTAATTGCCAAATTCGTTCCAAATAGTGGAGGGTAATCAAAGTTCGGCCCGGCCAAACTTATAGTTTTTTACTTGTTTTTCGAAATAAATATTATATTCCAACTGTTCCGTTTATTTAAAGTAATGGTATTAAAATTAGTACAATGTTGTTCTTTTTGTATTTCAAGAATTTCAGGACTCTTGCTCATCCAATTTTAGTAGAAAATAAATCCCTCAATCGGGTTTTGCTCGAAATTTCATTTAGATTTCATTCATTCAACAAATACCAATAGCACGAAAATTAAAACTTCTGGTACTCTTTGTGATAATTGTGACCTACATACGAAGTTTCAAGATTGTTGGAAACACAAAATGTTCTTTTAAAAATAAAATTCAGTAACTATTTAATAACGTTAACATTAATTCTCCCTATCGTTTCTATATCAACAATACACCTTTTTGGAATCATTTATGTTTTAATGTAAACATTTCATTTATATTTCTGCAATATTTAATTTTAATTCAAGAACTTCTTTGGTATTTTAATAATTTATTTTGTAGTGTTTTTTTTTTTTTTTTTTTTTTTTCTTTTAATTGTTTTGTTCCTAATTCGAATTTTTCTATTTTAAAACGAATTACTCGAATTTCGAATTATTCTTTTTATGTAAATAAAACATTTTAGTGCATGTAAAAAATGCAAAAAAAATAATAAAATTTTTTAATTAATTTTATTAGTTGCCAAAAAATAATTCATGTTAAATTGTTTATTTGTATTCACATCAACTCACATGCAATAATCAAAATATATGATTATACAGTCAGCGTCAAATTGAACACACTTTCAATGCGAAAACTTCCCCCAAAATCATCTCGCATTTTCCCAATATTTCACCAAGCATAGAAAACTCTTATACCAAGAGCAAACAATTACTCTCTTGGCCGCTTAGCTTCTGCGCACTAAGGTCTTACATTATTAACGAATAATATTCCTTGAATTCCACGTGCTTTTTGTGATAAACATATGAGGGCTGTCCCGTCAGTCTGTCTCGGCAAATGTAAATACCAAATGATAATGTTGTTTCCCTTGTTGTTGTTGTTGTTGTCGTTGCTTGTTATCAATCACACACAGTGTTACGCACACACACAC